TATAAAATCAGCCAAGAATGCATTATTCAAAGCAATTGGAAAGCGCATTCTAACAATGGAGCAGCTTCACACGATCTTGATAGAGATTGAAGGCTGCCTCAACAGTAGGCCTCTTACTTACCAAGAGTCCGATTTCGGCGATGACATACTGCCCTTACGTCCAATCGATTTCATACAGAAAGAGATGGATTGTTAACTTCCTTGGCGTTCGCAGAAAGAAGACGTAGCGGATCGCAAGTTACTTACCTGCCTTCAGAAAAAGTGCATGCTAGAAGGCAGTATTCCAGCAGCAAAAGAGCCCTACGGTCATCTTGCGCCGTATCAGAACGCTTCTGGGAGATTTGGAGAACACAGTACCTTACCGCCCTCCGAGAGCAACATCGACGGAACATAGACGACAGAAGGGGAAATATAAAGAAGGTGAAAGAAGGCGAGTAGTACTCCTGAAGTGTATCCCCAGCCGGCGGGGCGCCGGCGGGGGCGGGGCCCAGAAGAGGAATTTCTGGAAACTAGCACGTATTTCCAAGTTGATTCCGAGCAGCGACAGCACAGTAAGGGAGGTGGAGATATACTGCAATAAAAAGACACTTCGCCGCCCCGTGAATCAGCTGGTTCCCTTGGAAATTGCTCAAGACGATGAGAGTTTGAAACAATTCCAAGCTCCAGAAGAAAAGAAATCGGAATCCAGAGTTGCAGCGAAGGGCTATCACGGTACGGCAAGAAGATAGCCTGGCGTCTAGGAGAGGGCAGAGGCCAAAGAGAGAATGAAGTTTATTGCTTTACATCACAGCATTCCTCGAAAACTTGGCCTACTTCTCTTTACCTAAAGATGGCATTAACCTTGGCTGTCCTTGTCGGTCGTCATGGGCTCAGTTCAACCAGAACGGAAGGAGAGGCATAATTCTTCCAAGAACATGGATTACTCAAATCGAATGCAGAAAAATATGGAGTTTATCTACACGCTCCACAAGCAAGCGAGTATGAGCTATGCGTCAACAACTACTGTGTAGTAGAAAAGACGCCCCCAGTTCATAAAAACTTGCATTTACCACCAGAAGAATTACTCCAGGACTTTGAAGCACGTTGGAAACTACGTAGGGGAGATTCTTATACGGTGGTGGAAACAAAATGCCCCGCACAACCGTTCTGCTCCGCAATCGATTGTACGATATGTGCTGCTAATATACTGAATCCAGAGTGCTGGCCACTTGCAGCCATGGCAGGCCTAGGACTAATATTATACCTTGTGATCGCCATCTTCTATACCTTATGCTATGTACCAGTACAATCGCCGAGCGCGTGCCGATTGTGGCTTGCTAAGGTATTCGTAGAGCAGTAATCTTTATGCTAGAAAAAAAGAAAAAAAAAAAAACCCCAAAAAAAAAAAAGAAAAAACAAAAAATACAATTACTGGTTCTAGCTATAAGTAGCCTAGGAAGGGTTTTCCGAAATGAGACGCGACAACGCCCGTCGAGAATTATGCAAGCACTGGCTATTTTCACATTATTCTCAGTAGTTCTGACATGTCAGGAGGTGAACATATTCCCCCACCAAGAACTGAGAAGCGGCTGTCGATCTCTGGAAAAAATCCGGCACGCATTGCACTGTTCGAAGATCGGCCTCCCGTGAGTAAAAATAACCCTTTCAAAAAGAAGCATGTTTAGCATTTCGGAAAAACGGTTCCACAGTGATAAAGGCAAGACTCCGTTTTGAAGGACTTAGATTGCTGTGCAACCGAGAGTCCTTACTCCATACTAGGAATGTGCTTCAGAAAGTTGTCGACAGTAAAAGATGCTCATCCATGGGCTCGTGCATTGGTAACAAGTGTGCAGACATAAATGAAACGAGCCTGCTGCCTGAGTTAATGATTGGCAACTCATTTCCTGGAATAACCAGTTGCGTAGAATCCTGTGGTGGACCAGGATGTGGCTGCTTCCACTGGGATTCAGGTTGCCTATTTTACAGGATATATGGTGTACCAAAAGACGATACCGTTTATGAACTTTTCAAATGCGCCCGATGGGAGGAGGAGGTGAAACTTCGCCTTCAGTTTAGCGAGGGAGCCTTACTAAAGTCTTACCTGCTTGGTCTCCGTCCAAACGTTCCTATACGTGTTCAGAATTTTGAAGTGACACTGAGTGTACTTTCAGTTCCACCACTTCCAGTTCTCGAGCAAAAATTTGTCAGATCAAAGCACCACGTCGCCATTTGGAACAGAGAAAAGAGCCCGCTCTGCTCGCGCTGCCTCATCGCAATGAGCATGGCCATTTGTGTTAATTAGTGCACTGCTACACCCTATATGCGGAATGTACCGGCTGCGAATTTCAGATCATGTGTAGATGTGAAGAAGACGACATCGAGGAAACCTTCATGAGCATAGAAAATGTACTACCACTCATTCGTCAACAAGTGCATTTGTCAGAGCATCCATATCATAGCGTCATGGCGAAATTGGATCACGACATCTCTGCGGAAATTATTTTAAATATGAAGGAAGCCGTTACCGACTTAATCACTGAAATCAAGGAAGATAGCTGCAGTATTGAGAACACTCACCTCACAGGATGTTATCAATGCAGCAGAGGAGCGCAAGCCATAGTAACGTGCAAATCTACCTTGAGCAACACTTCAGCCGAAGCCGAGTGTGGTAAAGACAGCTTCACCGTCCCCTGTTTGTCACAGGCACAGAACTCCCAGGCGTAGACTTTTTCTTATTCGAGTCACGTCGAGTGGCTGTTGCAGTGTTTCGGTAGGATGCGGGACGTAATATTAACACTTTGAGGCTCACGGCATACTGAAAGTAGGTGGCATATCCTTCGGGAGGAGTCATGGGCAGTATTGTTCATGCAAGTCACAACAAACGTCTGGCTTCTTATGCTTCTATCAAATTTCTTGGCAGGATGTCGGGCAATTACTGGATATTTAGCCTTCAGTGGTCAGTCTTTTTAGTGGCTAACGCATTGCTGGCTGTGCAGGAGCTCTCTCACTAAGCTATTTCTATCTCTCTGCGGCATGTTGCAAGCTGGTGCGCAATGGTGATTTTTGAGACGTAATAAGCAACTCATCAAATTTTGAGGGGCATCGACGGCTTTCTGCGCATTTTACTTTGGACTTTAGAGCATACTCTAGGAGCATTTCGCTTTCGTTATTTTCGGAAAGACAAGAAGACAGCCGAAAAAATTCTCTGAGTTCATGCATGCAAATAGAATATTAGTAGTGCAGTATTTTCCATTACTTAGTATAGACCATTTTAGAACAATGTCATCATCCGACGACGAACTTAGCAGAAAGCGACGTGCGGAAGAACGAAAGCTGATTGACGAGATACGATATAAGCGTTCTTGCGTGAGGGTCTGCTCCAAAGTTTTCCATCAGAAAGTGACATCCAGAAGAAGATACGGAGATTTGTGAGATTGATTGTTATGATTGTAAAATCCAATACTCTTTCTGACGGGTTCACTGAATTGCGTGGGACCAAAACACCACTCTTTGCGAGCATGCAGGCGACCCTCTATAAAAGTCGTCTCGAAAAGCTACACCTGGAGACATGTCACACAGCAGAAAGACTCCGTAGCGCTTTGCGAAGCATTATCGATGACACATCAAGTGTATGGACTTCTTGTTCTGTCAGATAAGTCTCTTGCCGAATCTCAAGCTCGATTTTACGGGAAGGACGAGCAAGGAATCTGCATAGAACCCGCCCTCTTCGCTGAGTTCACCAGGAAAGAGATCGAGTTTCTTGAGGAATTCAGGCATCAGATAGAGATAGAGATCCGAGAAGCCCAATCCCACGAGGACAACGAGCAGCACGTCAGCGCATTTGATCAAGTGAAGGAGCTAATTTCGAACATTGAAGGAAGAGCTGGGACCAAAATTATCGATCTTGTGCAAGAAGAGTAGAAGAAAGAGCAATGAAAGCTCCAGCAACAAAATAGACAACCAGACGAAAGCATACAGGCAATTGCCGAAAGGATGCAGCTCTGGAGCAGAAGATCACACAATTAGAAGGAGATCTCGTACGCAAACCAAAAGATGAAAACTCTTTCCGGACGCAGCCACACGGCGTGCAGAGGCATAACACAAGAGATGAGCGTCTCTCCGATGGCACAGTGAAGAGAAGGTCGCGGAAAGCGCCCAGCAGCTGAGGAGCCGCAAGAAGATCTGCTGGACTTGATGCAGGATTATGACTTTGAAGTCGATAAGAACGACGATGAAAGAGAAAAGAAGCCAAAATCCGCGGAGCCGGGACCAAGCAACCGAAGAACAGCAGTGCGAACACCCCGGACATTCCGAAAGAATCAAGTTGGAAGAACGATTGGAGGACATAAGAGCGCTACGCTCAAGACAATCGAGCGACTAGAAGGAAGATCCGTAAATGAATGTGATGAGACCAGAAGAACGTTTTTTGAGATGCTCATTCTGTCTGGTAAAGGGCCAGCATTATTCCGATAGTTGCCCAGTGTACACCAGCGTAGACTCGAGAAGAAAGCGAACGCGATGCATGTTGTGCCTCGACAGTCGCCACGACACAGAAAAAGGGCAAAAAAGTGGGCAACAGGAGAAGAGAGTTGCTGTACGTGCTATACAAAGAGGCAGCGATTAAAGCTGCTCTGCAGCCCTTCCGATCATCGCTGAGTGCTACAAGGAGCTTGAAGAGATCCAGCAAGAGCTCGAAACGTTCGGAGACTATTACGGCCCAGGCTCAACATCGAGACCCTCAACATCCAAGGGCCGCGGGGAGTGTCACTGAGGTGACCAGAGCATACAGTGAGGCAGGGTTGCAATCGTACAGTGAAATGTTTATGTCTGTAGGACGCTTCTCACGCGTTCCTCACTAGATCAGAGCATAGATAACCCGAGCTGCCGAGAGCTGGGTATAAAAGGAGGGGTGAGAGCGTCCACAGCCATTTTCTTCTCTTTCCTCAGTGCATGCGGGTCTTCAGAGCATAGGGGGGGCTTCAGAGCATTCAGCATTAGAGCATAGAGCATTCTCACTTTATCTTATAGCATTTCTTATTCTAACTCTCTCATTTATACTAGGTTTCTCACTTTGTCTCACTGTCTTGTTCATTGCATTATTCGCTATACATTGTATTGTACTTTCCATACTCTCTTGATTGTAATATCGATAGTTACAGTATTCATTCATATTCCTTAGTATTCATAATACAACTTGTAGTAGTAATATGTGCCTTTATGTGTATGTGCCTTGTATTCGGTTACAACAGCTATAAAGTTTAATTACCCAAGTTTGAGGTATACCACTGAGCCACCGTTAACACACGTGAAGTCCGTAATGATGAGGATGTACTTCCGGTTGCCCATTGCAAAGCCACCTGCAAGGGTATTCGAAGCGTATACGTTATTTGAAAGTGAAGGCTGATTGCGTTTATCGAGGTTCTTCATCTGTACAAAAAAATACAAAAGATTCTTCTTGCATTGGAAGGGCCCTTGTTCAGCGGCTTGGCAAAGCGAGGAAGAAAAATTTGATTTGACGTTGCAGCAAGTAAGTTGCCACTTTTTTTGGGCTTTATTGTAAAAGCAGAAAAATTTCTTACTGGCGGATTCAATTCCGAATTTGGTTTTGCAAGGCGTAAAGGTGATCCACCAAAAGTTGTTTTGTTACTACCTACTACAGCTCAGTCTGCTCGAGCCGACTTTCGCAGTAGGCGTGTTTCCAGTCATCAGATGGATATCTCTTACCTTTTCCCAGAAAGAAATCACCGCAGCTCGTCTTTTCTCTGACTATTCTTTTCAATAGAGCACCACTTCACAGAGGTGTCTTTTCCACAGAAGGGCTTGCGCAATACTCAGAGAGGCAGTAAAAAAAATAGATTTCCACTACACACTTACTCGAATGACTAGCTCTGCCAGCAAAGTGATGGAACGCATACTGATTATGGAATTCCAGACTAAAGGCAGTTGTTGCCCACGTGAGCATGGTCCCAGCTACATCGCACAGATCACAATTCAGCACTGTTGTTAGCAACCCCTCTCGGGCAGGTAAATTGACAAAGTGAATTTGTTTCTCCTTGTTATAGATTACCCGGAGCACTTGACTCGTCAACCTTACCTCACTTGTTTAAAAAACATTAGCAGCTCACGGTATAAGGGATCGACTTTTTCAGTCCCTCAATTCTTTTTCGGTCGATAGCAGTAGCTATAACACTCGGAGTCATATCCTAACGCCTGGCGGCGTACCGTAGCGGACGTGCTTGGGCATTATGTTGCATGAATCAGCGTGAATGAGCCTGTCGAATCCGCTTCTCATGGTTAATTCTGCGTATGTTGTGAAGACTCTAATTGGTGTGTACACAGCTTATCTTTGAGTCTGTAGTCCAAGCATTAGGCTGAGGAGAAGAAAAGACTGTGCTGAACGGATACACGGATCAGTCAATGCTACATCCCATTTTTCACAGGAAACATTGGACGGAAATCCATTTATCCTTCAATCTGTTGAGACAGTCTTCACCAGGAGTGAGACTAAGCGGAATGTTACGAATGGAGGAGTCTGCTGCTTGCGATCTCTCCAGATGCTTCCGAATAAGCCATTTCTATATTAATCGAAATGGACGCCATGAGGCGCCGAAACCCTTGAAAGCACTCGAAAAACTAAAGCCTTGTGCACACATCAAAACTGAAGAGTAACATAATAGAAAACCACCTTATCCAAATAAAAATTCCAGAAAACCTGAAAGAAGTCAGAAGAATACAGCGCACGAGTTCGAAGTAACGAGGGAGTTAGAACAGAACACTTCTTGTGGTGCCGGAAATTGTTTAAACCTTTGAGTAGATGAAAAGAAGACTTTCGCTTGAACTCTCGTTCCTGCTGGCGTATCATCCTACTGTCCTGGGGCTTTATCGTGCGACATGCCTTTCACGCCGCTTTATAAACAGGCTCGTCCGAGACGCAACACCGGCAAGGAGGATCTCAAGGGAAAACGACGAGCGTTCGCGCATCAAGATAGTGAGTGGATTAGCGTGGTTTGGATTAGACAACAGAAGATACTGAGTAACCTCGGCGGTGAAAAAAAAAAACAGCAAGAAAGCATACGCACTGGCCTTTTCCGATAGCGTTTGCAAGTGCCCAATTAGAACCAAACATTACATCCTCATCCGCACAGCTGATGGCCTGATAAGAACTCTACGGCCGTACAAGTGGCGAGTTTCATGCTCTTTCCTTCATTTTTCACGGAAAGGCGGGCCTTGAAGGCGGAGTCTGGCAGCGCGTCACTGAAAAAAAGGAGGGTCCGATAAACTATATTGGCGCTATAGCGCCCTCCTCAAGTTTTTCGCGCACAACAGTAAAAGGTGGTTGTCGGCAGGCCAGCACTGCCTCTCGGACGCATATTTTTTCAACATCTAACCTGATCGCGCGCCGTACTCTGATCGAACCCACATGACCAAAGGTTCAGCTCACCTTAAGTTTTCTAAAAAAGAAAACTGGAAATGAAAGAAAAAGAATGCTGCCGATCGTGCATATACTGATTCTCGAGGGGTAGTCTCGCTTGACCGGACGCAGCGACTCAATTAAAGCTCTGAACCGCTCGCCAGCTTTTCCACGGTTGCTTTCTTAGTGGTCATTGTATTCCCGTTCACTTTAGATTTTTCCTCTACCATCGCGGCCTCTTTGCCGACCGGTTTTTGAGTGTCACTTTTTATAGGATAGTCCTCTATTACTTTCAACATGCTTTCTCAGCACTCTCAATGGAGTCATTTGCAAATGCACGTACGTCATCCTATTTCCATTTTATTATAGTAGTTTTATTCCAAACGGTTGCCTAGTGTATTTGATTAGTTGTCAAGTAGTAGTCAAAATTTCACTTTATTCGTGTTGTTTCAACTCTTGCTCTTTTTCTGTGCTTCTTTTTCACTTGCCCGAAAGTTTTTGCCATTCAGTCACATGTGAAACAGAGAAGCAGCGCGAGACAGTACACCCCTTCACAATTTCCGCGGATTTTCTCGCCACTTCTGGCTTACGCTGCGCAGGAAATCAGCGAAAACGTCACCACCACTCTGAAGGTAAAGTACCCCACCTTGCACAATGAAGCGAGTACGACTTCTAGTTTATGAGGGATCTCAGCTTTCGTTCCTGTTTCATGTGTGGCTATTTACCCCCCCCCCCTTAAGAGGAATTTGTTTGGTAAGGTTAAAGTAATAAAAATTTCGCGGGAATAGCAAAGTGGCACGCAATTGGGGAAATTTAAGAAGTGGTGTATTCTGGGAAGTGGATGTACACTGCGGGTCCCCTTCTCGCTCGACGGCTCGATCAGAGGAGGGCACTTTGGAGGGGGTCGTATTGACCACCAACTGACAACGTAATGTATATCGCCTGCTGATTCCTCGTTATGAACCTTACGATTCCACAAGAGGCAATGGAACATCCATTTTATGCTACTTGCCCGGTAGCGTCGTTTTTGCAGGGAGTCGGATTTTAAAGGCTGAGGCCAAAGGCGGAGTCACTGAAAAAGGAGATGTCACTAGAGCAGCTTTGCGCCTCAGCTCCTTTACCTTACAACTTTTCGCCATGAAGCTGGAAAGTTATCCATTGCGGACGCACAGCTATTCTTCTTACGTAATCTTTTGTATTTTCATAGTTTCCTTCAAGTGGCGACGGTACGCTGCCTCTCATACCTTTGGCACCGTCCCAACAGAAATGTGACCTCGTTCAAGAATGAAGCCCAGGACATCGCTATGCTTAGTGCCTTTCAATGGTGTTCATCTATTCGAAGAATCGTGATGAGCTCAATTTTTGCTTTGGCTTGTGATATCAGCATTAGAGTGGCTAGGCGAGTTTGAGTTCTGTCAGGCCGTGTTCTCCGAAAAGTGACAGATTCGGCCTTTTCAGTGCACTTGGTAGGGCTGCGCCAAACGTAAATTAGCTCTTGTCAAGCACTTTT